GAGAGAAGAGGGGAGGGGAGGGGAGGGGAGGGGACAGGGGATAGTAGAGGATAGGAAAGGCAGCAGAATACAACAGACACTAGTATGGCAATATGTAAATCAATGGATGTGTAACTGATGTGATTCTGCAATCTGTATATGGGGTAAAAATGGGAGCTCATAACCCACTTGAATCAAATTGTGAAATATGATATATCAAGAACTATGTAGTGTTTTGAACAGCCAACAATAAAAAATTAAAAAAAAAATAAACTTAGGAAAGAGAAAATAATCTTGCCATTTATTTTGCTACCAACTTATTCTCCAGGGAGAAAGGCAATTTGGCTTTTTAAAGTAAACCAAATAAAAAGAAAACATAAAGAATAATTAAATGAACTGGCAGATGTTCTACTTAAATAAGTCTGAGCAAAATCAAGTGTTTAACCCTGAGTCTCATTCTGACAGCATAATATATCTGTGCTTAAACAGGGAATTACAAAAGGTTATAATTAGCAAATTAATGAATTTTATCCTCTGCTAGACTTCAGTATAATTGGAAGCATTTACGGATTTTATTAACCCAAGAGGTTATTATTCTTAATAAGTAACCAGTAGTGACTATTTTCAAAGGAAACTGCTTACATTTATAAATCTTAAATTTCTCGACAGGAAATCATCCTTAGCTTTTTCTTATGACCACCTATGGCCTACTGGCAGTGAAATTAAAGCTTACCCTCTTGAAAATAAAAATTAACAAACTTTACAATTATCCTTTACTGATGCAAACATTTAATAAAGTTGGCTTTTAGACTAGGAAGAATTAACCATGTTTAATTCTATATGGAACTATTAATCAGAACTGAAAATATTGCTGCCCACTTGGTGAACCTCTAGATCTACTAGACCTTATATTCTTGAGGGTCAGGCATTGGGTTGTTCTCTTTCTGTACTTTCATGTCTGACACAATGGAAGACCCTCCAGACTGTAAGCCCATACTTTCTGTGTGATACAAAAAGAAGGCTGGTTTCAGGAGACAAAGTTGTCCAATAAGTTTGCTGTGAGTAGGATTTCTGTAACTGACACTCTAAAGAGAAAGAAGAAAATACTCATGGGGCCAGGCATAGTGTCACATACCTGTAATCCCAGTGACTCAGGAGGCCAAGGCAGGAGGACCACAAGTTCAAAGCCAGCCTCAGCAACTTAGCAAGACTCTAAGTCACTTAGTGAGACCCTGTCTCAAAATAAAAGCATAAAAAAAGCTGGAGGTATGGCTCAGTGGTAGAGTGCCCCTGGGTTTGATCCTCAGTACCAAACAAAACAAAACTAAAAGAAAAGAAGGGAAAAGGAAAAAATAAAAGCAAATGCTCAGAGGTGGCCTGAGCCCCTTGGCTCTCCTGAAACTGAGTTCTGCTTGTGATGTGCTCTCAGCCCATGCATCTCTTGGCCTTGCCTCACCTGCCAGCCAAGTCCTGGAACAAACAGAAATAATGGCAGCTGTGACCAGGTGCCCGGCAGCACTGCCAGTATCTGGGTCACTAGGAAAGGGAAGTTAGCCAAGACCTTGGCATTCATCTCCCTCAAAGGCAGGCCAAGGGTTACTGAATACACCGCCCATGGCATTTCTTATCTCAGAATCATGGTGAAGCAAGGACCTTCCCTGGAACTCTCTGACCACTGATGAAGTAAACCAACCCCCCAGTGTCATCTGTACTTTCCCATCTCAGAGAATGAAAAGCATAAGAAATGTCCCTTGGATAGAGGCGAGTCTTGTTTACTCTGTAAGTCAGGCGGGTAAGCATAATTCAATATGCTATGATTTCAAAGTCATAAAAATCTACTTTGACAACTCAAATTCAATCATCTCTATGTATCAACTCCACCTCCACTAACAGTGTAGAAAATGTGGGGAACATGTTTCAAGACAGATCTAGGAAGGAGTCAGGACACACCAGCATTTCCACCTGCTCCCCACTCCTTCCTTCTTAATGGAAGCCCAGTTTTTTCAGGTGCCCACTCTTAGGACAGCAGGGTCCTTTGGACCTCAGCCTCAAAAGAATAGGTCCAGTGACTGGTTTGGCGTAGGCATGACAAAAAGTGGCTTTATGACAAGCAATGGCTTCTAGGGAAGATTTCAAATCACTTCTAAGCAAGATATATGGGGAGAGAAAATCCTTTTATCCTCTGGAATTATCCTACCTTTATGTGATATCTCGAACCAGAGCCACCACTGAATTCATCAGCAATTGAATAAACTGATTAAACCAGTTCAATCCCTCTTCTTGTTTTATATGTATTAATAAATTTTGGTTTTATCAGGCTTCTCTGGGTTGGACTTTGCAATATTTGCAGGCAAGAGGATCCTAAAATAGACGTAGGGGTTGAATCACAGTAAGTAAAATGTGCAGAAAGAGCACCCTGTCCAATCATTCAGTGTGGAAATACTAGTAGGAAGAGGATTCCTTTTCTAAGTGCCCATCTCCACGATAAAGCTCAGGAAGCCCATGTGGATCCCTTTCATCTCTGCAGTCTCTTGAGTTATTTAATGGTCACATTTTTTTTTCAAAAAGAAAAAATATTAAGAATGGCAGTCTACACACACACACACACACACACACACACATTTACTTTTTAAATGTATAAGTCCACAGTGGTTGGAATAAACTTTCAAGTTCAAAGGGTCTTCTCTTGCTTGCTGTTTCTCTTGGCATATCTGTGGGTGGAAGGACGGATGAACATTGTGGTTTAGGGTTAGTGGAACGATGAACGAAAATAGATTTTAATGCCAGGTGTCATGGCTGGGGAGGCTGAGGCAGGAGGGTCACAGGGAATGCAGCTTAAATCAGTTAAATTCTGATTTAACTCTATTGCCTTAATGTACTAAAAAGGAACATCATATATATATATATATATATATGATAAATATTATGTAATATTATTATATAATTTAGTATATGTGATAATCTATAGTACAATTATTATAAAATTTATTTATACAAGCTGGGTGTGGTTGCACATGCTTGTAATCCCAGTTGATCAGGAGGCTGAGGATATATCCATGGTGGGTCTATAATACCTTCCAACATTAAGGTACTTCTCAATTGTTACCTAAATTCCCTTGAGTGCTTATTTAGGATATAAAATGTTTCAAGAAGTGAGCTCTTAAGAGTGGTTACTTAGACAGAATGAAATTGTGTAGCTTTTTTATTTTAATTCTCACCTATACTGTCCAAATTATTTTTACTCTGTGTAAGTATTCCTCTTATAGTACAAAATTTGGAGAAAGACAAAATATAACATATTGCTGCTAACGTATCTTCATGTTTTATATAATGCAAAGATGTTGTATTGGGTTTTGTTGTTTTGGTTTGGTTTCTTGGTACTGGGGATTGAACACAGGAGTACTCTACCATCATCTCCATGAACTACATCTCCAGCCTGTTTTTTTGTTTAGTTTTGTTTTGGTTTCATTTATTGTGGTTTGGTTTTTTGTTTGTTTGTTTTTTTGTTTGCTTGTTGGTTTTTTGAGACAAGATCTCTCTAAGTTGCTTTAGGTTTCGCTAATTATTGCTGAGGCTGACCTTACACTGTGATCCTCCTGTGTCAACCTCCCAAGTCACTGGGGTAACAGGCATATACCACCACAATTGGCAAGCATAGTATTTTTTAAAATAAAGATACAGAAGATAGAGTTCTCCAAATAGTGCTTATCCATAACTCCCTTTGTGATATTACCATGTTGATTTGTATCTCCTTGCCTTGAAATGTTAGTACTTTTCCCTCTTTATCTTTTCTTCCTTGGCTCATTGTAGATATTCCATAAAACGTTCGGTTTCTCCTGTGAAACATTGAGGTCTTCAATTTTTAATTCTCTTTCTACTTCATTGGCATTCTTGTTCGAAGCCTTGAATTTAGGCATGGGAATGTAGCTCACACCTGCCCAGCATGTGTGAGGGCTAAGGTTTGATTCCCAGGACTGACAAAAAAGAAAGAAAAAGAATGGAGAAAAAGAAAAAGGTGAAGCCCTTGATCTTGCTCCAGCATCTTTATTCCAGCCTGAATTATATTGGTCTTTAAAAAAATTATCAAGCTGGGCATGGTGGCACACACCTATAATCCCAGCAACTCTAGAGGCCAAGGCAGATGATTACAAATTCTAGATCAGCCTGGGCAACATAGCAAGTATCTGTCTCAAAATATAAAATCTTTAAAATGGCCTAGGATAAAGTTCAATGGTAGAGCACCCTAAGTTTAATCCCCAGTACAAAAAAAAACTCTATCAGCCATTGCTTCAGTTATGATGCTCAATTGCATATAATATACCCAACTCCAAGTGCCTTAAAGAATAGGGCATTTACTGTCTAACACAGCAGGAACTTTAGGTACAGGGCAGTTTAGGACAGCTTAATTCAATCCCTCAACAATGTATTCAAAGGTTTAAGTTGCCATCAGATCTCCGCCCTGCTTTCTCCTTAGACTATTCTCCTTAGGCCAATGCCACTCATGGCCATAGATGGCCATCATACTCAGTATGCACAGGCATGACGCAAGCCTTCAGGGAAGAGAACCTGTTTCTTCCTGTGAATCATCTTTTAAGATAGAGACTTTTCCAGGATTCATCCAGCAATTGTCCCTCACGTCTCATTGGGCAAAATTGCACCAGATAGTGGAGCAAAGTATGAACACCAGAGGGTCAGGGACACAGGCATCAATGTGGTGATGTCAGCAAGAGGGACAAGCATGGGCATATGCTTAAATCAGTCACTGGTATGAGGAACAGATCTCGAAATTAGACCAATCATGGTTGACTACGAGGGCTGGACAGAGTTTCCTCTGACACACAAGGAGGATGGGTTTCTGAACAAAATCATTATTAGCAAAGAGAAATGTGTGTGGGGAGAGGTTGATGGGGGTTTCAATAAAGGAAATAGTTTTGGGGTAAGCAACCAACCATCTATTAGAAGCTAAGCATGGCGGTGCACGCTGTATGCCAATGACATAACTATTTCTACTATTTTTATAGAGCTTTGAATATACCTGATGAAAGCCGACAGGAGTTCCAGGAACTTACCTTGCACACTGCCAGTGAGATGGCTGGTCCCTCACCTATAGAATCTGGGCTGTTTAAAAAGGTAAGACTTCATTTCCAATATTTTGCTCCCCAGAAACAAACACTTTAAAAAATTAAAGTACTATAAGATAACCCCTGAGTGAAAAACATGTACTTAAAAGGAACATTTTATATATATATATATATATATATATATATATATATATATATATATAAAGTATACTCATATATAAGATAAATATTGTGTAATATTATATAATTTAGTATATGTGATAATCTATAGTACAATTATTATAAAATTTATTTATACAAGCTGGGTGTGGTTGCACATGCCTGTAATCCCAGTTGATCAGGAGGCTGAGGCAGGAGGATCGCAAATTCAGAGCCAGCTTTAGCAATTTAATGAGACTGTAAGTAACCTGTGAGATCCTGTCTCAAAATAAAATAAAATAAAAAGGGTTAGGAATGTAGCGCAGTGGTTAAGTGTCCCTTGGTTCAATCCCTGGTACTAAAGAGAGAGAAAAAAGAATTTATTTATACATAATAAAACTATTATAAGATAACACTTTTATTATATATTTATTATATATCAGCAATAAGATTATATATCATATATACTAATGGATGAGTTCAATCTGCTCTTTGCTGCACCACCCCACCCGCCTTCTTTCTCACTATCCTGAGTGCCCTTTAACTACTATGTACTTTTCCATACAAGCTATGCTCTAACATGAAGGCACACGAAGTAATACCACATCAATATTTGGAATTAGTGGTTCTTTCCCATAAAAAGCATTTACATTTCTTCCTATTATATATAACACATGTAAAAATGTTATTATCAGTGTTTACTTCTAAGTATCTAGATGTTTGCACAGAAACATCTGATTCTGATTTAACTCTACTGCCTTAAAAGAAAAGCTCTCCCCAAGCGGAGGTGGAGCAGTGCATTTCATATGATCTGCATTCATTCACTACTCACACGCTCACCTGTCTGCCGGAGAGGAGGAGGATTTCCTAGTTACAGTGGGAGGGAGAGCTGCCAAGCTTTGAAGGTTAACATCTTTATTCTTACAGCTTATAAGATCAACAAGGGTTAGTAATGAAAGGTATTTTGTTAGAAAGAAATCCCCTATGCATGCAAAAGACATTTGCTTTGGTAATGCTATTTATTGAGTTAAAAAAATTACTTAGTGTAAGATGAAAGAGTTGTGGGTATCAGTTGCATGATAGGAATATACTTAAGACTATTGATCTATACAGTTAAAAATAGTTAAGATGGTAAATTTTATGTTATTTTTTCCACAATTAAAAAATGAAAATTAGGCTTGGGAGAATTAGCTCACTGGGAGAATGTGTGCTTAGCATGTGCAAGGCAGTGGGGTTCAGTCCCCAGCACCAAAAAGAAAAATGGTTTTTAGAAAATTATTTAGTAATGGGAAGCAAGAAAAAAGACATGGTAAGGTTATTAGCTCATATTTTATGTTTCAATAGAACCTGATGAAAGTGGATAGGGAAATTCCAATACAGAATGCTTTCTAACTAAAATTGCATAATATCAAGGAGAGCACTAAAAATGGGAAATTAAATTTTATAAAATGTTGAAATAAAAAAAATCAAATTTAAATTAAAAAAATTAAATAACCTGCCTTCCTGCACTTTATATTTACTTTCAAATTGATTTATTATTTTATTCTTCTCTCTTTATAAGAAGTAGTTTAAAACTGCGAGGAGAAAACCCTGATAAACCTAGTCATAGGCCCCTGCTAGGGTTTCAAGTTATTTCTTATATTTGTCCTTTAATAACTATTCCTTCTATCATTTAGGAAAAAAATAACTCGGTAGGTATAGTGCAATTAAATTTCCTGTTAATTGCTGAAAAGCAGGAAGTAATTTGTGGCAGCATTCAGAATTGGGGTAAAAATTAAAATCCCCGAGGAGAGTGGCAACAAAGGGTCTGCAGTACCCCCTGCCTTGTTTGTCAGTATAGCCACAGGCGCCCACAGTCTCTTCTTCACACTACCAATGTGGGTTCAGTCTCAGCCCAGGTTCATCCTCCCTGGCTACAGCCAACAACCCTGGTTGCTCTGTCACGCACAGGAGTGACTCTGAGGCTGAGCCTAGAGGTCAGGGAGCCGGGGAAAGGGAGGCCAGTAAGTATACCTTGTGCTATGGTTTGGGTCTAGAACATTCCCCAAAGTCTCATGTATTGAAGCCTTGGTCCTCAACGTAGCATTGTTCAGAGGTGGGACTTTGGGGGAGTGATTGGATCATGAGGGCTTGGACTCCATCATTGGATTAATCTATTCAGGGATTCATAGCTGAATGCATTTTACTGGGAGGTGGTGGAAACTCCATAAGGTGGAACCTAGTTGGAGGGAGTGGGTCCTTGAGGGAGCACTATTTCATCCCAGGCCTCTTCCTTTCTCTCTGCTCTCCTGCCACCATGAGGTGAGCAGCATCCCTCTCTGTCATGATGCTCTGCCGCACCACAGGCCCATAGCAAGGAAACCAGCCACCCATGGGTTGAATCTGTGAGTCAAACACCTGGAAATGACAGAGGCTTGAAGCCACACAGAGATGAACTGGGATCCCAGTGCAGGAAGGAGCCAGAGCAGGTAGAGAAGGGCAGGACTCCATGAAGGAAGTGACAAGGGTGGAGGGTGTTCAGGCTACCCTGTCTCCCAGTTTCACCTGGAATAGGTCAGCCAGGAACTGCCCCTACTATCTAGGCTGCTTTCACACCCTCCCCCTCGGGGATGGTCCACATACCGGCAACAGGAAGAACTGGCTTTGAGGTGCTTCTGGGTTTGCCTGTTGTCTCCTCTCCTGCCCTGCCCTCACTTCCACCCCCTCCGGTATCCTTCCATCTGTCCCTTTCCCTCACTCTTTCTCTTGATCCCTGACTCTCTTCACCTTTTCCCCTCTGCTGTCATTCCAGGGCTGGAGAAGCGAGGAGGTCCCCACTGGTATGTTGGCCATTGCATGTTTCTTAATATCCTGGCTGTAAGGGACAACTGGGCAATTAGTTCAGCAGCACCAGATCCCCCCAAATCACCACCGTGGCCAGTATTACTAAGAAACAAAAGTTGATTCTGCTTAAATCCTGGTTCATAACTATGATGAGTGTCAGGGTGCCAGGAAACTGACCATACCTTCCAAATTACCCTTCTTTTAGTTCACTGTTCCCAGTGAGCCTCATCATTTCCTGGAAAGCTCAGATCTGCTGAGGTAGTTTTTAGGGGCCACCTGCAGCCTTCCTTCCTGGACAGAAAGCCACAAATTCGTCTAAAGATTCTTCCTTGAATTGATCAAGTCCTCTGAGTTACACCTATCTATTCCAATTAATATTCAATTTTTAAATTTGCATTAAAGTTAAATAATTGACATTTCCCCAATCAGACTTTACCTGCTTTTTATATCTGTTCTGTTACTGAATTTGTTTATCTATTTTTTTTGCTAATTTTAACATGTTATAACAGCATTCTTTAAAGATGGTAATAGTATATAGAATCATTCCATTAAAATGAGAAGACATTTAATATACTTGCTTGTGTAAACAGAAATAGGATTTATAATTACAAAAATAATATTGCCTCTTGAATACAACAACTAGGAAAAAAAGTATAACTACAAATCAGAATGTTACTAGAATTTAAGTCATAGATAGGAAAAGTTACCAGGGATTGTAAATTTATTTATACAAAACAATTTTTCCTTTAAGTGGCTGTGTGAAATATTTAGTCAATTTAGAGTGGAATATGTGTTTATTTTTTATATTCCTTTTCTCTCTCCCTGTTTTTTTCCCCTCCATAGTGAGGATTGAACCAGGACCTCACGCATGCTAGGAATGAGCTACATTTCCAGCCTTTTAAATTTTACATTGAAATAAGGTCCAGCTGATCTCAAACTTGAGATCCTCTTCCTCAGTTTACTGATTAGCTGGATTAGAGGTTTGTACCTCTAATCTGGCTAAGTATTTTTTTCCTATATAGGCCATTATTTCATATGAGAGAAAAGCATAACGAAGTAATTTCATTAAAGGAAAACACAAAGTATCATGTGTGGCAAACATGAATTGAATAACTCTTTGCATATAAGAGAGAATATTGTAGATTATTTAGTATTTTATTGTATTTATTTTCATCTATGTACTTACTCTGCTACATTTACTGTTTAATTCATTTTGGTAATGAAAATATCTTAATTCCACTCTGGAGGTATTTCCAGGACATGAAGGAATACTCTCTATTAATTAAAGCATGTCTTTAAAAAGATAAACAAGCATACTGAGCACTGTATTAATAATTAAAATGTAGCATCTTCAAAGAGTCTCGAATTATCTTAATGAGAATTTCAATGATTTCCAGCATAAAAATCTTTTAATCCCTCTTCAGTTCTAATCATTTATTTTGATCTAGAAAATTGTATGTGACTGTAGTGATTATAAGTGAAATTGTCAAATTTTCAATCTTTGTGGATCCACAATAGAATAAATGGCAATTATTTGATTAATTCAAACAGAAACCCTATTTTTACTTTAGCCATTTGGACCTTTTCCCTCTTGATGCCTGGATAAAATATCTCTATTTTTCATTTTCTACAAGAGTGTGTGTGTGTGTGTGTGTGTGTGTGTGTGTGTGTGTAAGTGTATATTTTAAAAAGACAGGTAAGCCCTCCTCCCCTCAAAGACAAAAGACAAAAGTAAGGGCTGGGGATGTGACTTAGTGGTAGAATGTCTGCCTAGCAGCACAAGGCCCTGGGATCAATCCCCAGAACCTTGCAAGTAACTAGACTCTGTGGTGAAGAGAGATGTTGCCACTAGTGTCACACTTTACAGAAGTCACTTGTCTACATCTCGGTCTTCTGAGGTATATTTCCACCCTGTGATGTGGGAGACATCTGTGAATCTCCAGTCTCACTCTTGCGATTGCGATGCTCCTAAATCTGCTTTATTCTCAGCTATCTCCAAGATGGTCCTACCACCATCGAGTTTGCCAACATTAACATTGCCCAATTAATCTCCAAGTGGTGTGTTCTCCAGTTTCTGGTTGTTCTAGT